ACTTTATCTTGCTTCTTTGTATGGACTGTGATGGTGTGTTGTCTCTGAAACATCGTGGCATTGTTGCATTTAGATCTCTGTTAACTGTTTGTGAAGAGCAGGTAAGGGTGAGTCAGGCTTTTCTTGGTGGTTGTTTATTGTTAGTCTGTTGGTGGAGAAGGAAGTGGTGGCTCTCACTCAGTAAGTGAAGCTGCAGGAGGTGTGGGTGTGGTTGTGTTGTATGGGCACTGTTGCTGTCTTCCACTCAGTTAGACAGAAATAACAGTTGAATAACTATCAAAAAAGTAAAAGCAAATGGACAAAAAGTACACCATGTTATCACACAGGAACAGTAACCAAAAAGGGAAAAAAACAAAATACTGCAATATGTGGGGGAGAGAGCATTAAGAGAAAAAAGGTAGAGAAGGAGAATAATGAAGGAAAAAAATGGGAAAAATGCAAAAAGAAAAACAATGAACAGGGTTAACCATGAGAAAGAAACAAAAAAATCTAAACCAGGAACAGGAAAAAGAAAAAAACCCTGAAAACTAGAACCTGGGAGGGGAAGAATGAAGAATAATAGGAAAAAGCACAAAGGTAATGATAATAGTAGTTTTAAAACAGACAAAAACAAACAAACTAAAAAAGAGAAAGAAAAAAAATCGGGGCAGGGCGGGGCACACAGACTGGGATGAATTCCTGCCATTCCAGAAAGTGGGTGGGAGTGAGGAATGGCTGCACCTCCATTCACAAAGAGGGTGTGGGGAATAAGCGTAACAAAAGGAATATTGCACCTTTCCAGTCATCCAGGTCCAGGATGTCTTTGAGGTTCCTGGCAATTAGAGCCTGTTCTTACCTCCCTGGAATCTGGAAGAACACTGTCACTTTAAATATCCAAAATGGTCAATTCACTTGTAAACATTCAAAATGGCTTGCCCTCCAGACAGATAATAGTCCACAGCTCACCCCGCCTTCCTCTTCGCTGCTTTCCCTTTTCTCCCCAGCCACCAGAGCAATCCTCCATGCAGTCCCTGGCTGGCAGGGCCGATTTTTAGGTTAGTTCTTAGGTCCTACCACCACTCAATAATATCCAAGCTGTCTGTGCCATCAGGATCGCTCCCAGACCACAGCTCCGTATGTCTCTTTTTTTGGTGCTTTCATGTAAATTCTGCTGGCTGGCGTTTAGTCCACTTCTATATCCTTCCCTTCAAGGCCCAGGGGTCCAGGATTATCTTCTGTGTCTGTGTTAATTGGTTCCCCTTTTCTTTGTTGAAGAGGGTCTGTGCAGTCTTGCTGCCTATTCTGCCATCTTACCAGAACTTCCTAGGACTGTTACTTACAGAGCAATAGGAAGGAGTTGGGAAAGAAAACCATTTTTACAGTGCTATCAGAGAGCATTCCAGTTTTGTTTGCTTCTCTTTGCAGAGATGTTGGCAATGTGGTTGAAGCCATGTATGGGGATCTTCCTCCTCCAATTATGCTAATTGGACATAGTATGGGTGGTGCTATTGCAGTCCACACAGCATCATCCAACCTGGTGCCAAGCCTTCTGGGTCTGTGCATGATTGATGTTGTGGAAGGTAAGTTTTCTTAGTGCTGATCAAATCAGAATCTTTTATATCTATGGTAGATTATTATTATCTTAATTTATTGTCAATATCAAGTATATTAAAATATGTCCCTTTTTATATCTTCTCTTTTATTTACATTATATAATCAGCATTTTTCCATGCCATCAGAAACTTTTCATAAACACTGCATAATATTTTAGTTGTACGGATGTCCCATACTTTTGTTTTACCATTTCCCTTTTTGGGGACATTTAGGTTGTTTCTAGTTTTTAATGGTTATGAGTAATAATTTAATTTATTCTAGTTGTTATTGAGAAGTATACACAACAGAACATACACCAATTCAGCAATTTCTACATGTATAATTCAGTAACATTAATTACAGGCTTTGAGTTGTGCAGCCATTTTCACCTTCCTTTTCCACGTTGTTCCTCCCCTGTTAACATAAACTCATTGTCCCTTAAGTTTCCTATCTGATGTTTTTGAGTTGCTATTGGCCATTTGATCCCAATTACACAATTAGTATAGTTCTTAGAATAGAATAGCATAGCATATAGAATCAGCATAGCACAGTGCACAAGACAAACATTTTTCCTGGTTAAACTAAACTATAAGTTGGTTTTAAGAAGACTTCAAGGGATATGTTTGGTTTAAGGTTTAAAGATTATCTCAGGGCAGTAGTTTTGGGAGTTCATCCAGCCTCCATGACTCCTGAAAATCTGGATTGCATGAGAATTTGAAATTCTGTTCTACATTTTCCCCCTTCAGTCAGGATTCTTCTGTGAAATGTTTGATGTAAATGTTTAGTAATGGTAGCCAGCCATTATCCATGTGGTCTCATGGCAAAGGAGACAATTATTCGTGGAGGCAGTTAGACACACGTTACAATCGCCCCTCCTGTTCCTAACTCTCCTTCTTCCTTTTTTGCTCCACACAAATGGAGACAAATTGTTATACTCTGGATGACTTCTTGGAAGCTTTTTATGACGGTAGGCTCCCCACAACTAACTAGGAAATAGAACAGAAACATTAAGCATATTATTAGAACCAGTTGACTGGGAAATCCCTGAAACCATGACCCTAAACCTCCAAACGAAGAAACCATTTCCCATGAAGTGTTTGGTTGTACATAAGCAGGCTCAGCAGTTACTCGTTTGTAGTTGTTGAATATAGCTATCACACAAATATTGCCAATTTAACTTGTTACAGGTAGGTGTACAGCTTATTGATAGCAATTACATTAATTGGCGTTACAACCCTACCCTTAATCAGTGCAGTTGTTCCATCACTGGAAACCAAAGCACAGTACTCTTTATAAGCAATAACCCTCACTTTCCCCCTCCCTCCCTTCCCTGGTAACTACTCAGAAACTTTGGTCTCTATATATTTGCCTATTCTTGTTTATTATAAATGAAATCACACAATATTTGTCCTTTTGTGATTGACTTATTTCACTCAACATAATGTCTTCAAGCTCTACACTGTAGCATGTATCAAGACTTCATTTCTCTTACTGGCTGAGTAGTATTCCATTGTATGTATGTACCACATTTTGCTTATCTGTTTATATGTTGATAGACATTTAGACTTTTTCTATCTTTCACCTATAAATAATATTTTTATATAAATTTTATTTATAAGATTTATTGTATTTTGGATTATTTTTTAGGATAGGTGCCCAAAAGTGGAAATACTGGGTCAGTAGGTGGGCATTTTAAATGTATATCTTATTTTGGTTTCCAAAAAGTATGGTCTTTTAGTTTGATTCGGAAGACATAGAGCCAGGCATGTATGCCTGGATCTTCTGCCTTGTCACATCCACAAAGAGTGAATTTTGTTAGGGCCCAGGAAAAAGTACAAGATGAATATTCCATCTTCTAAGTTGTGTTTTGTTTTTTAAAAATTATGTTAAAAATACATAACAAAACATTTGGCATTTTGAGTTTTTTTACACATACAATTCAGTAACATTAATTGCATTAATCATGTTGTGTAACCATCACACTATTAGTTTATCGGTTTCCAGATTTTTCATTACCCTTAACAGAGACTCAGTGACCCTTAACCTCTTCCCCCATCCCACCTTCTGTCTTTTGAGTTTTCTTAAACTGCTGTTTTTTTCCCCCTCAGCATCACTGAATTCTGTTGTCATTGAGGACAGAAATATCTAGATGACTCAGTAAATGTAAATGTTCAGAATACATTAAGTGCTGTGATTAAAATTTTTGTTTAACATCAGGTACAGCCATGGATGCTCTTAACAGCATGCAGAATTTCTTGCGTGGTCGTCCTAAAACCTTCAAGTCTCTGGAGAATGCCATTGAATGGAGGTAACCTATAAGCTATGTTTTCTTATTTTAAATGTTAGATTGTAGTTTTTCCTTTTAATCAATTTTTAAATATCACGATCAAAGACAGAGAAATTCAGTTTCTAAGACTTAGCTTTATTGTAATAGCATGTTATTATATGAGAGCTTTTTTTTTTTTAAGTATTTCAAGCTTAGTTAAGTTGTTTAGCTCTAAAACCTATCCCTTTTTGAATATACTAAGGAGCTCTGGTTTCGGGGTTGTGTAGTGCCTAACTAGAAGTTTGACTGCTAACCAGAAGGTTGGTGGGACAATCTACTTCCATAAAGATTTATAGCCTCAGAAACCCAATGGGGTTGCTATGAGTTGGAATTGACTCGATGGCAGTAAGTTTGGTTTTTGGTGTGTTTTTTTTTCCCAGTATACTATTTCTTTTTTTCAATATACTATAGTCCCTCCTAGAATCTTAGTAATAATACATTGGCTGCTCTCTTGCTGTTTCCACTCTGAGATAACAGCTTGGACTAGATGGTCTCCAAGGCCACTTCCACCTCTGATGCCATGGTTCTGAATTCATTTTCTGTATTTCGCATAAAATGTTGGAGAAAGAGAATGGGTGTAGATTCCTTTTTCCAGTTTTTATCTAGAGTTAATACTTTGTCTCAGTACTAAGCTTTCATTAAAATCACTGATAGAATTGGCTATGTTTCCACTTAAGTAAAGACCTTCATCCTTATTTTATTCATTAATCAGTCATTTGAATACACTTTTATTAAACATATACTTTTTACTAACTAGTGAAATTTTGTAGATGAATAAAACACTATTCTTCCTTGCAAGGAGATCAGTCTTGGCATGAAATATCCTCACCATCCTATCTTCCTACCTATTCTTCCAAATCCATCTCTGCTCCCTTCTTTAGAACCCCTTCTCTAACTTCCCCAAACCCTCAGTAAAATTTCAAAGATCTTTAAATCTGAATTGTATTGCACCGTTTATCCCTTAAGTCTTCCAGTGTTCCCTTTAGTGTTGATTTTCATTAATGTCTGTCTTAATGCCCTTTCTGCACCTTAAGGGCAAGAGCTGTTCTCTCTTTTTTTTGTCCTTTTGCACAGCATATAGACTATTGCTGGCTGCTCTAGCAGTCAGAATGTATGTATTAACTGAATTATATATATCAAGTGGAAATTTAGAACGTGGAAAATATATCCTAGAGAGTTTTCCTAGGACAGAGGGTCTCTCATGCCAGAATATGAATTGTCAGACTGATGTTTGTATTTGGTGAGGTTGCTTTCTACCACCCCTTGTTCATGACCATGACCCAGGATTCCTGTTCTCTCAGAGGCATGAAATTTCTCTCCATGATGGGTAACTACAGCATTAAGAATGTAGCTGCTGTCAGCTTGGCTTGTACCCTTCCTGCATCCCTAGTAACAACTAGAGAGAAAATCATTACAAATCACTATTTTTCAATTTATTCAGTAAACTTTTTTTTTTTAAAGTATCTAAGATACGTCTGCAGAGCCCTGGTAGTTTAGTGCCTGAGGCACTTGACTGGTAACCAGAAGGCTGGTGGCTCAAACCCACCAGCCACTCCTCGGAAGGAAGGTTGGGCAATCTACTTCTGTAGCGATACTACCTCAGAAACCCAAGGAGGAGTTGCTATGTGTCAGGTCCGACTCCACAGCACACAACCACCACCACCACCAAGATATGTCAGTATCTAATCTAAAAAATGGGGATAAATCAGACTCAATTTTGATCATCAAAAAACTGGGGATATAAGCAAATAAAAATTTAAACATAATACAATGAAGGAGGCACAGGAGATACAGAAAAGAAGTGGGCAACCATTTTATCCCTGGGGATCATGGTGTGCATTCTTTTAAAGGAAAATAAAGTTTTGATTTCTTTGCCAGATGCAAGAGGTGATAAAGGTTTTATTTGTTGAATGTTAAGATGTTCTGTGTTTTGTTGAGGGCTCCTGATCTTTGGAGCTTACTTTTTGAACCTAAGAATCTGAAAGAATGCTGTGAGGTGTGGTTGTTAATTTTGTTTTGTACTGTCTGGATATCTGAATTGAATTTATGACTCATGGCTATTTTGGCTATTCCACATTAAAAAAAAAAGTATTGAAGAACAAAGGTTCAAAGTGAAGTGGATTCCTGCTTTGCTTTCTTGATCTTCTGAAGGGAGACAGTAGGGTATAGTCATTAAGAGCCTGAGCTTTGGAGCCAGGTGGATGTGGATTTGAATCTTTGTTCTACCACTCTGGCTGCTCTGAGGAAAATAGAGCAGGGAAAGGAGGGGGATAAGGGGTAATAATGGAAGTGAGAAATTGGTTGGGAGATTACTGTAGATAGTATAAGATAGTAATGGTGATAAGATAGACTAGGGTGACAAACAGCAAGTGATAAGGTCAGATTTGGAATGGATATTGAGGGAGAACTGTCAGGACTTGCTTATGGATTGGATTTTGGGAGAGAGAAATCAAAGATGACTTCTAGATTTTTAGTTCAAGTAATTGGATGAATGTAGAGACAGAAGTAGATTTGGGAGCAGCTAAGGGACAGGGAGGTCTGGTGGCGTGGTGTCTAAAGCATTTGACTGCTAACCTGAAGGTTGGCAGTTCATACCCACCAGGTGCTCCATGCATGGGAAAGATTTACCACCTCAGAAACCCAAAGGGGGTTGCTATGAGTCTGAGTGGACTTGATGGCAGTGAGTTAGAGTTAAGGGGCAGGGAATCAGGAGTTTTGCTTGCAAAAGCTGGAATGCTTTTTTACAAATCTAAGTGAGAAAGGCAGTTGTATATACTGAAAGATGTTATGTTAGAGATACATTGGAGAATCATCATCACTCACATGAGATTTAAAACCTAGGGATATGATGTCGATAAAGAAGATTGCCTTGAGATACTCTGTAACATTTAGCGCTTGAGAAGAAGGGAAAGATCCAACAAAGGGAACTAAAATTACACCATTCATGAGGTAGGAGGAAAACCAGGAGAGTATAACAAGTGTTTCTAGAAAGAAAGAAAGAGCAACTATGTGAAATGTTGCTGAGAGATCAAGTAAGATGTGGACCAAGAAAGGACCATTTGAATTGGCAAGATAGAGGTCTTGGTAACTTTAACAAAAGTCATTTCAGAAGATAATTAGGAGAAAAAAACTGATTGAAATAGGGTAGGGAAAGGATGGCTGGTAATAAAGGGGAGAAAGGAAGTAAGATAACTCATTTAAGGAGTTTTGCTGTATAGAAGAGTATAGAAATGGGATAATCGGCGTAGTGAATGTGGGGTTGTGGATGTTTTTAAAGTCTAGGTAGTACAAAATGTTAATGATATCCAGTAGAGAGAGAGAAAAATCGATGACACAGGAGAGAGATGGGATAACTGAAGGAAACAAGATCCTTTTATAAGCAAGAGGGGATAGAAGGTGATGCCCATGGTTGGCTGCAAATAGGAATAGAGATATTTCATATATTTAACAGGCATCAAGGTAGAGTATATGGTTACAGATACTGGTACATGGGTAGATTGACTTGGTGGTAGAAAGAGGAAGTAATAGGATTGCTTTTCTTTATCTTTAAAACAAGAAACAAAGTCATGTATAAGAGTGGTTAGGAGATGCTTTTAAGATTTGGCATGATTTTTTTAAGCTTAAAAAATGAGATTTAAAGAATTATGTTTTTCTGATGGCTTTTTTCAGGTGGTGTTGCCAGTTCCCCCTGGGATATGCAGTCATTCTGCTTTGTCCTTAGATGTACTTAGGTAGACAAGTGGAAAAGACTAAGAGTCTGAGCTATATAATATGGCATGCAAGGCCCTGTAGGACCTAGCCCTGCCTACCTGTCCTCCCCTATCTTTGGTATCCTGTCCTCCCTTTGCTCTCTATCACTTCTCCTTGTACTCTGTCCTTTAAAATCATCATCCTGCCAGCTTTTTCAATCACGGTGTGCTCTGCCTAGAGTGCTCTGACTGCCCTCTTTTACCTTTCAATTGACTTCTCATCTTCAACCTTCAGTTTAGACAGAACCTTGGGAAGCCTTTTCTAACCTCCTTATTCAGAACAAAGTGCTTTCTTTGAACTTTCCATTATTACATTAAAATTATCTGTTTGTGTCCTCCTTCCCCATTCCCCTTGCCGTTGAGTTATGTGCTTCTTGAGCACAGGCCTGGCACATAATATCCTCTTAGTAAGTATTTGCAGAATTGAAATGACTATGATGTCTTCACTTCATTTTCACTACCAGTATATAGCCATAACAGCCAAGTGGGGAGTAGTGGTAATCTCCATAGTAAGCAGCATTTGTAACCTCAATTCAGAAGCAGATAATTTTTCACTTGGTCCCACAGAATCTATAGAATTATTCATTTGGCTCTAGCAACATAAGAAGGATGCTGAATAACTTCCTATGTCCTTTCTTACTTCTTTTCTCCTTCTAGTGTGAAGAGTGGCCAGATTCGAAATCTGGAGTCGGCTCGTGTCTCAATGGTTGGCCAAGTCAAACAGTATGTCTTATTTTTCACCTCTTGGGCTAATGAGAGGCTAGAACATAGAGAATTATAGATTGTAACCAGTCTGTGTGAGTACGTGTGTAAGAGAGTGTGTGTGTGTGTGTTTAATTACATAGCTAACAGCTAGAAAACTTCTTGCCCTTCATGATCTAGGTAAAATTGTCTTGAACCTCCCAATTCATGGCCTGTGGAAGTCCAAAGCACTTGGCCTGGTTTTGAAACTTGACGCCTCATATCTCCATGTAATAAAACATTCATAAACATGTCCTTTCATCTAAGATAATTTTCTACTTTAATACATTATAAAGAGGTACAGTTTTTTTTTGCAGGGAGAGGGGAACAATAACTGATTGGATCACATGTTCTAATCTCCAAGGCTCAACTGGGTATGAGTACTCATTTTCTGTCAGCTAATTAAAAAGCAGGAATCTCTTACCATTCTGTTTGAACTTGGTTCTGCTGCAAACTGGGTACAGCAGGAAAGCACCATACTTTGGAGTTAGCTGGGCCTAGATTTGTTTCCCAACTTCATCCATTCATGTGCTAGGTGACTTTTCAGAGCTCTTTCATAGGATTATCATAAGCATTATGTAAGATAATGTCAATAAAACGCTTGTCAGCATACCAAAGGAAATGTATACTCCCTTCCTATGGATTGGTATTGATGAAAGAACTGGATACCAGCCCTTCAACTGTAGTCTTACATTGGACATGGATCTTCCACAGCCCTGGTCTACTTTTGCACACTTTTTTTTTTTTTTTAATTGTGATTTGGGTGAAAGTTTACAGAGCAAATTCACTTTCTATATAGCAGTTCACATACACTTTATCTCATGACATTGACTATAATTTACCACAATGTAACAGCTCCCCTCCCACTTCCTCCCAATAGTTACCTCTTCCCTGTGTCCATTCCTCCATGCACTCTTGCCCCTTGAGTAGCAGCTCTTCTTTCTGCCACGATTTTTTTTCCCAAGGAGTGTATCTACCTCAGGTAAATGTTCAACTCATATGCCTGTCTTTTGTTTGGCTGGAAGCCACAGGTGTGGGTTCAATTCCAGACCTGAAGGGCAGCTAGGGGCCATAGTCTCAGTGGTTCCACCAGGCTCTATCCTTTTGCACACTTTTAAATGTACATTTTTACATCTTCCTTCTCCTAGGAGCATTGTGAAGTGTTAGCTAATATTTGATTATAAAAGGCTGTAAGTATCAGTATCTCTGAGATAATTCATGTATAGAAGAGAGATATGTGATAGCATTTTTTAAAAACCTAGGTGTGAGGGAATTACAAGTCCAGAAGGTTCAAAATCTATAGTAGAAGGAATCATAGAAGAAGAAGAAGAAGATGAAGAAGGAAGTGAATCAGTAAACAAGAGGAAAAAGGAAGATGACATGGAGGTGGGTAAAGGCCTGCATTCTTGGAAGGCTGGGGTAGGAAATGGTTCCGCGTGTGTATGGGTCTGGAAGGAAAGGTGACATTGTTCTTTTTATCCACCATTAGCTATTTTAGACAGCAAAGGCACTCTATTTAAAGCTCAGAAAATTGAGTGTTGAAGAAGTTACTTTCCCAGGGGACCCACGGGTGGTAATGGAGCTGTGATTTGCATTCAGTCAGGTCTGAGTGACCCAAAGGCTGTTTTTAAACTTTCAAGTGAGGCATTGGGAAATAATGAAGGCCCCTGGTGGATACCTTTGGGTGCAAAACTGCATCCTGCCCAGCTGAAGTTCTCAGGAGGACTGATAGCTAGCTTTCTGCTTCTCCCACCCCACAGCTAGATTTCATTGCAGGCTGTCTCCAGGCTGCAAATGTCCTGACTTATGGACATTTGTCCTGGCTTATGTAAATTTGCCCTCATTTTGAAATGATTGAACTAACCACCACTTGCAATAAATTCATCATCACATTCACCTTCACTTGCTGCACATGCAGCTTTCAAATAATTAAAAAGTCTTCTAGCTTTTTCTTGCATTAAAATAAGGCTAAATAAGAACTGTATACATCTATTCCAACTCACCTACAAATTCCACTTGAAGACTTAAAAGATGCGGTTAATAACGGATCTCATTCATAACTGGGGATTGCCCTATATATCAATGTGTTTTATTATCATTTGTCAGAGGAAAGCATCTAAAACAAATAACCTTATGATCTAACCTTGCAGTAATTGCCAGACAGTGCTGTCAGCCCACCGATCAGTCGACAGTGACAGCCTCCCTCGACATTTTCTCTTTCCCAGTATTACAGTCTGTATCTTCCTATCTGGATGGATAAATGGCTATTCTACAAAATTATTTAATATTAATGCATATTTCTTAGCCCTAACCACACTCCAGAGAAAAGATTTATTTTCAGTACCCTAAAAGAGATAGAGTACAGGAGCAACTCTATCTAGAATATTTTCTTTGTTTTTGCAATTTTTAGAGCTTGAAATGAACTCTATTAATTTATAAAATATTACCATCTTTGGAACTTCTCTTACCTTGAATTTGTCATCTGCATATGAAGTGCACTGTACACATGGAAGGGATTTGTTAAGCTAATGCCCTGTCTCAGACAGTGGAGCCAACCTGTTATAAATGGAAAGTATTGCAGGTTAATAGGACAGGCTGAGTTCCGAGTTGGAATGGGAATTAGAGTTTACTTTAAAGTGTATTATGTCCAGAAAATACCAGTAGATGAGAGTAGAATGAGTTGTTCAATAAGAACATTAGAGCCTTAAGCTACCTTTATGCCTCCTTTTATTGATGGGAAACCAAGGCCCAGAGAAGGGAAGGAATCTGATAAGTCAGTAGCAAAGATGATACTAAAAGATCCAAGCTTCCTGACTCTTTCCAATGCTCTTTAGCACAAATGTTGCTGACTCATGTAACTTACAGATTATTGTATTTTGATGATACAGTATCTCAGTTATTTATCTCAATTATAATATTTTAGATTGTTTCAATTAAGCAGAAAAGTATAGAGAATCACTTATTCAACTGTTTGATGACATTCTGTGCCTTTTCATTCACCAACTATCAAGATTTAGCAGATGTTGACATTTTGTCATATTTGCATCAAATTTCCTTTTTAAAATTACTGTGCAGGAATATTATATTATTATTATAAATCAAAATATAAGGAAAAAGTGTTCTACCAATAAAAAAACCTATTTTCACTTTTCCTTTCCAGTTCTTTCCCGTAAGTATACATTTTTTAAAGTAGTAATCCTAACTTAGGTGTCATTTTATATCCTATTTCTTTTACTTATAATTATCATAAGCATTTTTTTTTTCTACTGTACTGTGTTCTTTATAATTATCCTTTTGATGGTATGTCCTGTTTTACCAGTTGGATAAAGAAAAGCTCAATCTTTTATGAGCTTTGTGATCTTAAATTTTTCTGAGTTCACTGAAACTAATAAAAGTAAGAAGTAAACACCCTAAGTATCACTGGAGAAAGATATCATGCTTGGTAAAGGAGGGGGGTCAGCAAAAAAGGGGAAAGTCCTCAATGAGATGGATTGACATAGTGGCTGCAACAACGGGCTCAGGTATAGCAAGGATTGTGCGGCTGGCACAGGACCAGGCAGTGTTTTGTTTTGTTATACATGGGATCACTATGAGTCGGAGATGACTTGACAGCACCTAACAACAACAAAAGTGGAAGTTATTACAGTAACCTCAGAAACTATTTTAAGTATTAAATTTATATTAAAATATCTAGGACATAGTAAACTCCTAAAAAGTGCTAGTTTCCTTCCCTTTCCTTTTCCCAGGAGACCTAGTTTTTCTCCTGTTGCTCCAGGGGTTGTCCTCGGAGACTCAGAACTTGTTCTTACTCCTCTAGACCAAGAAAGACCATCCATATACCTGGAGAATTGAACTGGCAAAAACAGAAAAATACTGGGATGGCTGGTTCCGAGGCTTATCCAATCTCTTTCTCAGTTGTTCTATTCCTAAATTGCTGCTCTTGGCTGGTAAGTGTGTATGTGTGGGTATATTACTACCTGGATATGCCCTTGTTGGGAGCTCTGGTGGCATAGTGCTTAAGGCATTTGACTGATAACCAGAAGGCTGATGGTTCAAACCCACCAGCCACTCCTTGGAAGGAAGGTTGGGCAGTCTACTTCCATAGAGATACTGCCTTGGAAACCCAAGGAGGGGTCGCTGTGAGTCAGATCTGACTCGACAGCAGTGGGTCTTTTTTTTTTTTTTTTTTTTTAATGCCCTTATTAATACTCCTCACCAAATGAGTTTGGTCCCAAAGTGGAGTACCATCTTCACTCATCTGTGCCATTTCTCTTCCCTGCACCAAATTCCTAACCCTAATTCAGCATAACCATTTACCTGAGATGGGCTAATTCTGGTTTGGCCTCTATACCTGCTCAAGCCCAATTTCTATAGTGCTAGATATAGTGGTGTAAGAATATTCTTAGTGTAGTATAACTGCTGGGGGGACTCTAAAGTGATACAACCACTGTGGAAACCAGTATGGCAATTCCTTAAAAAGTTGGAATTAGAAATACCATTTGACCCAGCAGTCCTATTATTAGGTATATATCCTAAAGAAGTGAAGAGTCAGGACAAGAACAGATATATGCACACCCATGTTCATCACAGCACTATTTACAGTAGCCAAAAGATGGAAACAACCTAGGTGCCCATCAACAGAAGAATGGATAACTAAATTGTGGTACATACACACAATGGAATACTATGCAACACTAAAGAATAATACAGAATCTGTAAAACACTGCATAACATGGATGAACTTGGAGGACATGATGCTGAATGAAATAAGTCAATCACAGAAGGACATATATTGTATTCATTGCTTTAAAAAGTCAAGGCAAGGTTTATATAAGGAAGGAAACTTTCTTTGTTGGTTACCAGGGGTGTAATGGAGGAAACTCTGCAAAAAAAATGTTCTTAATTTAAAAAAAAAAAAAAAAAAGAATATTCTGAGTATAGTGTAATCTAACAAGTAAAACCCTATTTTAAGAAGCCATTTGAAATGAACAGAGTGAGTATAAGGGAAACTCAGCCTAGAAGACTTCATTTGGTGAGAATACTCTCTGGGAGTTAGAATTAACATTAACTTGAATTAACAGTGTCATCACATGTACAGCTTTGTAATGATTTTTACTTAATACTTGGACTATAAACCTTTTTCATAGAGTCTTTCTAGTAAGCTATTTAAGGATTCTCTTGTTATGTTCTAGGTGTTGATAGGCTGGATAAAGATCTGACCATTGGCCAAATGCAAGGTAAGTTATCAAGAAATGATATCCCTGGGTATTTGCCAGCCTCTGAAGGCAGAGAAAGGGGCAGGGTCTTGTGGAAATTAGTGTCTGGGATGTAGAAAGAGCATGAGCTTTAGAATTAGACCCAAATTTGCCATCCACCTTGGCTACTAAACCACTGTTTGATTATGGACGAGTCATTTCTGTTTTCTGAGCTTTGATTTTTTTTTTTTTTAATCTAAAAATGGGAATTATAATGTTAAAAACTACCTTCATCTGAGTTGCAAGTGTTAAAATGAAGCACAGTGTTTGAAACCAAACCAAACCTGCTGCTATGGAGTCGATTCTGACTTATAGCAACCCTATAGGACAGAGTAGAACTGCCTCATAGGGTTTCCAAGGCTGTAAACCTTTATGGAAGCAATGTGTTTGAAACAGGAATTATAAACTAGAAAGTACTTTGTAGCTATATAATAATAGTCTAAAAGATACTCTGAATTCTGATCAATAGTTTAATTGTTGTTAGATTTCTTAGGAAAGAGAAAGGCCCAAGATAATCCATATTTAAAAAGTATAAATTCTGTTTAGAAGAGAGCATGGTGAGGAAGTTGGGAGAACTAGGTTTGAATGGTACTTCTTTTGTACTAATTTTTTTTCTTAATCTGCCTTAGCTTTAGTTTTCTTAATCTGAATAATGAGAAAATTGATGGCTGTCTCACAGGGATCATGAGATATAAAGAATAAGAAAATAACATGTTGAGTACTTTTCAAAGGTGCAGAGTTATGTCAGTCAAATGATAGTGGGGAGGCAATAGGACCAATTTTGTGGATGCTCTTGCTTTTGTACGGGTGAAAGACTTGGTAAAGGTAGAATCAGTAGACACTGGCAGCTTTTGGGAATGGCAAAAAGAGGTACCAGCTGTAAAACCTAAGTTTCAAGCTTAATCAGGTTCTGTCCTTAACGTTCCTTCTTCTCTTACTATCCCTGGGCAATTTCATGGCTTCCATTTATATACCCTGATGACTCCCAAAACTAACGTCCACCTCACACCTCTTGCCTGAGAGCTACAGACCTGGCCCATGTATCAAACTGCCTGTTCTTCTAACCATCGTTGAGCTGTCCACAGAGAGGGTCTGTATTCCCTCACAATACTTGTTCAAACACTTTTGAATGATTTCTGTGGTCCTGGCCCCAGAACCTCATAACCTTTCCTTCCTCTAACTATATAGTGTCCTAAGTCCTGGAGAAAGACCATGAGCTGGGACTGTGTGATTTTTATTGTACTGATGTTGGCAGTGTTAGGATTAGACATATAAACTGGGCTTAACTTCAATTCAAGCAAACTTTCCTCAGACCTCTTTTGTGCAAGACCTATGGTTGTTGCTGGGGAGATAGAGGCAAATCAGGCCCCTGTTACTATCTGAAAGCAGTTGACCTGGACTGGAATTCATTCAGAACCAGTGTTCATCACCAGCTTTGTAATCAGACACTCCTGGGTTTGAATCAGCGTTCTGGTTTTGTGACTTGAATGAATGGTTGATTTCTTTAATCCTGAGTTTTTTCATCTATAAAATAGAGAAAATGATATACCTTGATATGGTTATATGAAGTTTAAATGAGAAAATGTAGGAGAAGTAAGAGTCTGAGAAGTGATACCTCTCATTGTATCCAGAAAGCACTCACTATTCCTTATTAGGTGCGCTCCTATTTTCCACTGTAGATTATGCCAAGGCCACCTTTTCTTTCAGAGCATCCTGTGTGTATAGAGAGTAAATGGTTAGGAAATGCAAATGAGAAATGTCTCCTAAAACAAGGAAAATGGCTAAGTCTGAATAGATTTATACATCCTCCCCAGCTGAATTAGTTATAGAATCCTAGAAACTCATTACTTATTCATGATACAACTTGGATGAATAATTCAGGTTGTCTAAGTCTAAGGTTCCTCATCTATAACATGGAAGAGGAAGATCTGGAAATAGTCCCACTTTCTAGAATAATTGTAAGGATTACTCATGATCATCTTAGTTGATATGTACCTAGCACAGTGTTATTAGTGTGTGTGACTTTTCCCTATGTCAGAGAGGCAAGGAGGCCACATCTTCTGACCTCCTCTAACCCCACAAGAGGAAGATAGAATCACCATCAGTAGCCCAAGGTCTGTTCCTGTGAGGCCAGACATGCTGCCTCCCTCCAACTCTTCAACCAACCCTGGCACCTACCATTCCTTCAACAGCACCCACTACCTCTCTGCTGGGTTCAATAATTCATTGCATTGGCTACACAGAACTCACAGATTATGGGGTTTATTAGGGAAGCAACAGGCTACAATTCAAGTTCAGAAATGCACCCAGTCTCTTGCAGCTGGCTGTCTCACTTAGCAGCTGGCAGACTGTTTCAGCAGCAGTCAGAGACTCCTTCTGCCTCTAGGAGGGCTCCTTTTGAGCCTGGCAGAGTGGCAAACTAACCAATCCCAACATCAGAATTCTATACACCTGAGAGAGAGTGAACTTCCCAGAAAATTACTTCGTGCTGCTTCCAACAGAAATAACCCCAGGTGGATAACTTTAACAATCAGGAGCTACTCAGTTACTCACAGCAAATTCCACCACAGAATTTACAAAAGCTAGAAAAGCCACACTATAATTTACAACACCACACCCTGATTCCTTATACATACTCTTCCAAAGAGGAATATAAAATACATCCCTAGTCATCAGAGCCTGATTTCAGTAGAAAGACCAGCAGGTTGGAGTTGTAAGTTTTGGGTGTGGTCATTTGTTCATACATTCATTCATCTAGAACTTACTAAGTTGGGCCCTGTTAGGAATATAGAGCAAGTAGTAATACTGGCCCCTGTTCTTAGAGAAATGACACATTCCTGGAGAAGCATGCACCAGTGGCATGAGCTCTGGTAGCACAGTGCCTAAGGTACTTGACTGCTAACCAGAAGGCTGGTGGTTCACACCCACCACCCACTCCTCGGAAGGAAGATTGGGCAATCTATTTCCATAATGATACTGCCTTGGACCAAAGAGGGGTCCTATGAGTCGGGTCTGACTCGATGGCACATAACAGCAACAACAACATAAAACAAGAGGGTTGCAAGCTGCTCTGTGTTTTGATCCAAGTGCATTTACAGTAGTACATTAGGACATAGGAAGGAGAAGTGACAAAGCTGGGCTTTTGTTGCCATTCTCTTTCACTGGACCGTAAATCCCCTGAGAACAGAATTCCTCTTATGTGCCTGGCCCAAAGTAAGTACATACTAAATAGTTATAGAAGGAAGAAGTGAAAGGAAAATTATTTCCCCAAAGTTACAAGTATTACCATCCTCATAAAAACTCACTGGGTCCAGAGTATTGAGGGATGAGGGTAGAAATGGGGAGGACCTGAGTTCCTGGAGTGACTTGTGAGGCTGCAGAGGTGGTAAGGAAAGGGTTGTTTTAGTCTCTGAGGTTGCCTGGATTTGTTTTCTCACCAGGGAAGTTCCAGATGCAGGTCCTACCTCAGTGTGGCCATGCAGTCCATGAGGATGCCCCAGATAAGGTGAGTCTAGTGCTTGAGGACAGTAAAAGGACCAACTGTCACAGTAACCTTAGTTGTCAGAAAAAAATAAGACAGACCTCTGAGTCTTAGCCTGCATTGCCAGAAGCTGTGTGGGGCCTATGCAAATGCAGTTCCTCCAGGTCCCCAAGCCTCTTCCTAGCTGTGGGCTTAGCTTTCTCTGTTTAGACTGAGGAACTGCTGGCACCCTGATATTTCATCCTAGGGCCCTTAAGATCCTAGCTCTGCTTCTCCATTTCCCCCTAAAAGCCAGGTGGTAGAGGGATGATTGGGACAGAAATTGCTTCCTGAACTCCTGGCATAACTAGGAATTAATATGTGGACTCCTTCTGTAGGAAAAAGATGCTTTCTAAGGAGCTAAGCCCTTCCCATCATTCCTCTGGACCTCTCTAGAGCCATCCCTGATAAGGATGGTAGCATCTCCTAATCCTACTAGGAGCCAGGTCCTTTTGATTTCAAGCTCCTTAGACCTATGGGAGTCATGAATCCACCAAAGAGCCTAACTATCCAGCAGAAGCCCACAGAACCTTCAAGGTTGAGCCCCATTACTAACATATGGCCTGGAATATCTCTCCCTTTCCTAGGTAGCTGAAGCCGTTGCCACTTTTCTGATCCGACATAGGTTTGCAGAGCCCATCGGTGGATTCCAGTGGTAAGGAGGAACTTAAGGACCCCAGCAATGCTGGCCTACTTGGACAGCTATTTGCAAGTTTGTAAATATCTGTCATATCCCAGCCTAATTTGGGTTACCATTTCTCACTTCTTCTCCTCCACAGAGAGCTCAGAATATGTGTTTCTATAAACCCATAGTTGATTGTATCTGTGTGTACTGATCCAGATAGTAGTTACTGAGTCTGAGATGAAATTGTACCTAATCATCCACCCCCCACTGGGATGTGCACTTCTTCTTGGGGTACCCCTTCTATAAGGAGGCTCAAATGGGAATCTGTTCTTATCCAGGCTCTCAGAGAAGTTCTCTGCCTTCTCTGTGCTGATGTACACTGGGCAGGCCATGGAGGTTGTGTAAAAATCTGGAGCATGGTTTCTCAACCTCAGCCCTATTGACATTTTATTTCCCTTTTTCGTCCTACTCTTGACAGCGTGTTTCCTGGCTGTTAGTGACCTGCTCTCCATCCCTCCCTCAACATTGAGCTCTGTTATAAATACATCGCACCAGAGGTCACTGTGATGCCGCTGTCTCCTCACCATCCTGCCCAGCCATGTGACACCGGCTCCCTGTAGAATGGGCATCCCCAGATACACAAACCTTTCATGTATTCCTGCCAAAAGCATTGTTTTCCAGGGCCTTTGACCAGCGGTCTCCCCAACCCAGGGCTCCCCAGCTCCTACCCCTTTCCCATACGGAGTAGCCCCTGCCTCTCCCTGCCTTGCCTAGGGTGAAACTTCCATTAGAGCTGCCCCTGGGCCCCTATTCTTGGTATTAGGCAATGCACCTGGGTCCAGATGTCTCCCCAGGCTCAGGGACCTCCATTCCTTGAGATTGTTCTTGGCATGGTCTGCCCTACCTCATGGGATGGACCATGCACAGGGTGGTCCTTATTTTTCCTTGCAAATAAAATACCAGTCAGGTACCTTTTTATCCCACTCTTAATCTTTCTGGCTTGAGAGACCCAGGGAGGCCAGAATCCCATCCTTAGGTACAGGGAGGGGTAGTGGATAGCATCACAAGAAACCAGCCTGACTGTTGGGTCCAGCCAGTCCAAGCACATGGCCTCCCATCTGAGGAGAGCCCATTATCCCATTCCCACATGTCTGGGCACCTTCCCTGGGCTGAGGCCAGGCTGCTCCAGGGCCTCTTGAGCCCTCACCTGCCACAGAGTGATCCACGTTAAGTACAGCCCGTGCACAAAGCCACAGCCTGTGGAATTGTTTTTGATTTTCAAATTTAACCATTTTCATCATTGGTCCCTGGAGGTGTGCAAAGTGCCCATTTGCCTCTTCTCGACCCACAGCTTCTCTTTGCCATTTGTGGTTTCCTTGTCACTCTTCATAGAAACAGTACAGCCTAGTATCCCCAGTCTTTGTCCCCTTCCAGCTGACTCATCATGGCACTGTGGCCTCCCCCTGCTGCCCAGGCACGCCATTTCCAAGGGCAGGAGGAGCAGTCTCCTGAAGCCCATCTTTTCTGTGACTGTCTTAGGTAACCCATAGCCCCCTCCACCTTTCCACCCAACAACTTCCTATCCCTGTCCTGCTGCACGGTCCAGAGTTGAGGACCTAATTTGTTTGTTATTTATGACCTTGTTTAAAGAAAATAAATATTTCCCAACCTTTATTGTTTTGGTCTTTCTGTGTAGTGTTGTCTTTATTTCTGCTAATACGGGAGTAGGAAGCAGTTCGTTGAGTTTAGTCTCCATAGAGCTCCAGAAACCCTTTTTCCTGCAGCCCACAGTCATGTGCTCTGCCTGTTCTCAGCTCCAGAATGCCCAGTGGAATGGACAGGGCCACTCTCCACTGCACCTAAAGAGATCTAGATTCCTGTCCCATATCTACCAATTATTGCTTTGTTTACTCTGGCCCAGCACAGTAGTCTGTGCTGTTTGGATGACCTCAGTTACTTAAGGTTTCACATAAGCAGCATCCAAACTGTGTCCACGACTAGATCATTTCCTGAACTCTGGACACTAGGTCCATTTACCTCCTTGTATCTATCCCAAATGACCAAAAGGCATTTGTTTTGGTTACCTAGTGCCACTCTGACAAGAATATACCACAAATATGGATGGCTTGAAGAAATAAGTTTATTCTTTTATAGTTTGGAGGCTTTAAGTCTGAGTTCAAAGTGCCAGGCTCTAGGGGCTGGGTGAAAGCCCCTCAACCTTGGGCTTCAGCTCTGCCTCTGCTTCCGGTCCACTGTAGCTGGAGGCTTTTCTTCACTCAGCTGCTGACTGCGGAGGCTGACAAGCCCAAGGTTGACAGGTAATAAGGCACAGTCTCGATGTTACCAAACTACATGGCAGGCCATTAATTCAAGTCCATTAAAAGTCCCAAGATGGGCAGAGCATGGCAGGCTGTTGAACAATGACATGGCTCTATGCAGGGTTCAAGCATGCCATAAGCTAGAGACGGTTCCCAAGGCTTCCTCTTATATACAAGAAGCAGACCACATCCCTAAGGCAGCTACTCAGCTGCTCAATACATTCCACCATGGAGTTGATTACCAGTCTCATCATGAGGAATAACTACATCCAGCTGCTCAGCCATTCAACCAGGCCCAACCAAGCTGACACACAAACTTAACTACCACAGCATTTCCTGTCGACCATTTCTAAAACTCAACCTTCCCCCTGAAAGTAACTTTTCATGATTCCCAGCTCTAGTGACTTGCTTAATAATGCCTCTTCTAGCCATAGTCCTCCATTTTGTGATGTAAATCCTGGCATCAAAGTGCCTAAATTAGAACCTAAGACCCACTCCTTACTGGCTGTAGGATCCAGCACCTTGCTTATTTTGTGCTTCAGTTTCCTCATCTGAAAAATGGAGATAAATAGCATCTACGCCACAAGGTCTTGGGGACTTAAGTAAGTTAATATAAGTTAACTGGCTCTCAGAAACTGCTACATGATGAGGACTTAATAAATTGTTTCTGTTTCGTCACTCCTGTATTATACTTAAGATCTTCATTATTCAGAGTGATCCATAGGCCTGTAGCATCAGTATTACCTGGAATGTAGTTAGAGAATTTGGTCCCACTCTAGACCTACTGAGTCAGAATCTGACTTGAATTTTAACAAGCACATTAGTGTCTGAAAAGTTCTGGTTTAGATGTTCAGTAAAATTTCAGGGCAGAGTGTGTGAGCTTCCTAACAGGAGAAAATAAATCCTTTGTATATGAGCTGATTTCTGCTCGTGAGCCCTTTGTGACTGCTTTTGCTGTGCTGGGTGCCCTCTTGTCCACAGGGGGGCAGCGTGATCACATTCATCATTTCTAGAGGCACATCAGCTACTTTTTACCAGGAAAGTCATAATAGTTACCAAATTTTGAGCATCATCTAACTCACTCTACACACTTCTCACTCAGTCCTCATAGCAACCCTATGAGGTACATGGTATTAGTTCCTTTCATAGGTAGGCAGATCCAAAGTTATTCAGCTCAGAAGTGGTAGTGTTGGAATTTGGACCTAAGTGGTTTCCACTTCACATTGCCTTCTAGATAATACAGATGACCTGGATGGAATTGAGTTTGGTCCAGATGCTGTGACTTAAAAACAAAAGGATGATATCCAGTGAAATGAAGACCCTTCTGGCTTAATAGATGAATGCTGAAAATGAAATGTTCATTGAGCTTTCTGTTAGTCACTCCCCAAACCAAAACTCATTGCTGATGAGTCAATTCCGACTCATAGCAACCCTAGAGGAGAGAATAGAACTGCCTCATAGGGTTTCCAAGGCTGAAATCTTTAAAGAAGGTGACTGCTGCATATTTCTTCTGTGGAGCTCCTGGTGGGTTCAAACCAGTTACCTTTTGGTTAAAAGCCAAATGCTTAACCACTGCACCACCAGGGCTTCTTGCTAGGCACTTACATCTCCTTTTTCATCCTTTGTATCCTTGTGAAGTGTAGGCATTATTATCCTCAACTTAAAAAGAAACAAGCTCAAGGATATGAAATGGCTTAACCACAGCCACAGCTAAGAAGTGGCAGCATCTTTGTCTTCTGATTCTAAGTCTACTGAGAATTCCACTACACCCCAGCTAAGATGGTACCATTCTTTTGTTTACTTAACTTAATAAGCACCTGCAATGATGAGCTTAAGTATAGCAGGGATTGTGAGGATGGCGCACAACCAGGCAGTGTTTCATTCTGTTGCGTGTAGGGCTGCTATTCATGAGAACCGACTTGATGGCACCTAGCAACAGAGCTATATGCTGGCCATTACAATTTCCTTCTCAGGTCCCAATCAGTCTATATGAACTCAGGAAAGGAATAAAGGATACCCCAGGATTTCTGAGTGAAGGATTGCCATATAGCCAGAAGGAGCATATTTAGGTCAAACCAAAGACCATTGTGTTACATAGGAGTCTCCAAGGGGTACTCCTTCCCCGAGAGGAAGATAGGCAAATTTTGGAGTTGGCACATCTGATTGGGATATTGAGAGGAAGTTGGCATGACTAGATGCTGTCCTCTCTCTAAGATACTATTATGAATATTTGTGGATTAAGAAAACTTGAGCACCTACTCTGGGCCACATTTTTCAGTGGACTTTGGAGACAGGTAAATAATGAAGCCCTTAAAATGAGCTCATAGTCTAAAGAGAGAAACATGAGAGTGAAAAATATTGTATACAGGTGGTGGAGGGCAGCTAAACCTATTTGGAAACAGGTAGCATTTGAGCTGACCCTTGAAGCATCACAAGGTAGAAATTTAGAAGGAAGGGAAATAAATTTCAGGTAGAGGAAACAACATAGACAAAGGCCCTGAGTACTGGAAAGTTAGTTTGAACCAGTAGGAAGGTTAGCATGTCTGGACTATAGGCTGTCAGAGATGAGCCCAGAGAGACAGGCAAGAGTCAGAATATAAAGGTCTTGATTGGCAAGCATGGGGAGTTGTTGGAAGTACCTAAGCAGGGATGTGACACATTCGGGTCTGTTTTTTAAGATAAGTCACTCAGGTAACCTGTGTAGGTGGATTGGTAGGCACCATATTAGAGGCAGAGAGATCAGTAAGGAGGCTGTTATAGTAGCCCAGGTGAAAGACGAGAAGAGTACACTTAACTAGGATATGGCCCACAAGGATGAGAGAAGGGGACAGGCTCAATATTATTAGATGGTGGAATGAACAAGACAAACTAATAACAGTGTGAGGTTCCAAGGACCCTCTTCAGCTGGATTCAAGGGCCTATCATTGGAACCGAGGGCACAGCCATTGTAAATGTTTATAAGTGGTGGCCCTTTTGGATATTTAAAGTGACCAAGGCTGCAGGAGTGGCCTCGGGGACCTCAGGAGTGGCAGGATATCCAGGTAAAAGGGGTAGGAGGCAAGGCTAGGCCCCAAGCCCCCTAGAGCCAGGAAAAGGAGGGAGCGGCTGGGGACCACAGAATGGCGGGTTCCAGGTAGGAATTAGGTAAGGGGAGGGCACAGAGGTTTCCAACAGCTAAG